ATTAGCGATCTAAAAACCTTTGGTAAACCATACTCAAGTGGTGATCAAGTTCAGAAAATTCTGAGGAGCGTACCTACCACTTGGCAGATAAAAGTAGTTGCACTCGAATCACAAGATCTAAACAAACTTTCATATGCTGAGCTTCGAGGAAATCTCATAGCATTCGTGAAAACTCACCTCAAGAAAACAAGTCGAGAAGAAAAGAAGAAAATAGTCGCCTTCAAAGCTACAACTAAAAGGACAGAAAATGATATTGATGACGACCCTAATGCTCTTGAAGATGAGATAGCCATGGTATCAAGGAACATGGATGGTTTAATGAGGAGATACAGAAACACAAGAAAAGGTACAATACCACCCAGGCAAACCAGGCAATATAATGAACATGTAAGGCCCCATAAAATTTTGCCTAAAATTCGGGATTTTGTGGTGCCGAGGTAAGCTTATGTGCTAGCGAATGTAGAGAAAATTGGGCAGAATCACTCTGCGAGCAGCAGAATAGCCGTAAAGTGAAGGAGAAAACTTGGCAAGTTTGGATGATATTGTGCGATCAACTATGTGATCGCAAAACCGTTTTGCGGGTCGCACATCGATCGCAGAACTAGCATGAAAACTTTTCGGAGGGAGGTTTCGCGGTGCATTATGCGACCGTAAAATAAGTTTGTGAACCGCATAATGGCCACAGAGTGGGGCAGAACTATCCAGTTTCGGAGGGCTATTTCGCGGACCGCAGAAGCATTACGCGGTCGCATATACGAAGACAGGTTGTGTTTCGGAGCTTCATTTTTCTGATTTTATAAACCCTGCCCCATTCTTATAAAACAATATTAAGGGTCATTTTAAAAGGTTCAAACTAACATTTTATAAAGAGATGAAGGTATTCTAGAGTAAGAAGAGGAGTTCTAGGTCATTTGTTCATCAATCTTTGTTCAAATCTTGAAGATTTCTCTAGGGTAACTCACAAGGGCTTCAACCAAAGCTAAGGCTCTATACCCTAACCCTTAATTTTGGAATTTAACTAAAATGGGTAATTAGTAAAGTAATTCTTGGGCATGTGAGTTGTTTATTTCGGATGCATGTACCATCTAGGGTAGTTGGGAGATTGTTGAGATCTTTTAAGTGAACTTTGGGTAGTAGGGTAAAAGAATCTACCATAAGAGGACCTTAAAATTTTAATGCACGCCTAGTGTTTGGTAAAATACTCAAGTGATCTAAAATTATGAAATCCTTCCTAATTTGTGTTCGATTTTGCTATATCTCCAAATAGATCGAAGTGGCTAGAATCTCCGAAACATTTTTGTAAATTAAAAATGCTTGAGGTAAGTTATGTTGGCTAAACTTCTCTCTTAGAATTAAATTCCCACGATGATCTTGTAGGTCCCGAGTTGTACATTATGAATTGACTTTTCTGAATAAGTTTGGCGTTGGATGATGTATACATATGAATATGTTCAAGATGTGTTCTGGAATGTTCTAATCATATTGTGTTATTCTTTGGGAGAGTATTTGAGGTGTAAGTATGTATTTAAATGTTGTGACTTCAATTCAAATCCAAATGAAAGTGATAACATCATATTGTATAAGAGATCATATGTGCCTAAGACGCTAATTTGTCCAAGTATGTGTTTAAAGTCTTAATTTAAAAGGCCTTGTTGTCGATTATCCATGATAATGATTGAAATAGCGAGCATGAATTAAGAAATATGGCCAACGTTCCAAGAATGATATTGCGTTATGGCCCATGATGCCAATAAAATGAATAACATGTAGAAGAATATTTATTGAGTGGTAAATAATTTTAGTAATAAATGCTTTGGGAGTATCGTTTAGCTACCAAGAAAGGGTAGGTCAGAACAACCTAGCCTCAAAATTACACTTGCCGGTGTAGGAATAATTGAGGGGTAAATTCATGTGTTAATGTGATGAGGTTGGTTTCCCTTATACTGGATGGGATTGGTGTATTGAGATGTTTCCCTTTAAACGGGATGAAATTATTGCTAGCAAGATGTGATGAGGTGTTGAACCACATGGCATTGTGGTGAGACGGCTTAGCCGATCGATCTGAGATCTGATGCCATGTCGCGCACATGGTGGTATTGTGAGTGTATGTCTCTAAATAACACGGCTTAGCCGGTCGGGCTGAGCTCGGACTCCGTGCTAAAAAGGGTAGTATATCGGTGCTTAAGATCTCCCACTTCAAATAAATGAAATTTACTCGAAATATACTTTTCCCTAACTTGACACCTTATTACTGTTTGAGTCTCTTATTCATTTTTTGTTCCATTCTCCGTTTACCGTTACTTGTTTTATTGAAAGGGCATTTAGTTTTCATACTAGTACTATTCTATATGTACTAACGTCCCTTTTGTCGGGGTGATGCATCTTCAATGGATGCAGCTGGTTCCTTAGCAGGCGATAGTGGCCAGCGATAGCATCACACCCTCCCTTCAGCTGACTTGGTGAGCCCCACTTCATTTCAGGGTCCAGTATACCTTATCCTTTGCACATAGTGTTTTGAGATATAGTCGGGGCTTTGTTGCCGGCAATGTCATAGCACTCTTTTATTTCTGTTAGAGGCTTCGTAGACATAGTATGTGTTTTATCTGTTTTGGGAAGGTTAAACTAAAAATGTTGTAATTGTATCATTTGTTCCATTTTAACTATGATTGTACAATGCACTGGTTTTGAGACTTGTTAAACGTAACTAATACAAATGAACTGGTGCTATTCACATGACCTCTTACTGTCACATTAATGAAATGTATTCTTCTCTTTATTCATGGGTAAGTTGGGTAAACGACACTATGCATGCTTGCTTAGCCTAGGTAACTCTGTTGAGCGTCGGTCGCACTCCCCGAATTCGGATCATGATAGAACAAGATAAGAATGATGGAAAATGTTATAAGTGTGGAAGATATGGGCATGGTCAAGCTGAATGCCCAGATCTTCAAAGAAAGATTTACATAGGTTTCAATAAAAAAATCATTTGGAAGCTGGAATGATGAAGAAAGTTCGGAACACGAAGATATAGCAAATCCACGCTTCATGACAACCCTGGAAAATGAGATGGACAAACTCTCCGGTTGCTAGACCGATGAAGATGCATCTCACGAATGCAAAGAAGATAATGAAAATTGTTTCATGGCACGAGGTGAAACAAGTGAGGTAATATCTTATAACTATGATAAATATAATGAATTGCTGGATATTCTTGATCTTACTCTAAAAGAATCGCAAAAAATGATGAATGAACTAAGGAGACTCAACAGGGAAAAGAAATATCGGGAACTCAAGCTTGAAGTATTTGAAATTGAAAAGGAGGTACTTCAATATGAAGTTCATGAATTGGAAAAGCAACCCAATGGCATGCGGAAGTCCACCAGTCACGGTTCTGTCAAGTCTAACTAGGCGACTTACAAGTCAACTGGAAACGGACCAGCTAGAACTGAGTCCACAAGTACTAACACAAGTGGAAGATCTAAAAATGGATCAGCCCATATGTGTCACTACTGTAATAAAAGTGGACATAAGTATTCTTTTTATCAATTTCATAAATATAATATTTCAGGGTAGATTTGAAAACCCAAAAACAATCGTGATCTTAGTAGAACTAACCAACAAGGACCCAAGCAAACTTGGGTACCTAAAACAAAGTGATAATTCCATTGTGCTGGAACACCATAGGAAGAGCCGCAAAGGAAAATTGTACTTAGATAGTACGCGTTTCAGTCACATAACAAGTGACAAAAACCTGTTCAAAGAAGTTACAAAGATAAATGGAGGAAGTGTTAAATTGGCGATGACTCAAAAGGAAAGATAGTTGGCACTAGAACGGTTTCATTCAATAACAATTGTGATATTACTGAAGTATATCTTGTAGATAGACTTAACTACAATATCCTGAGTATAAGCCAGCTATATGATTCAGGGTACGAAGTTAAATTCAAGAAAACTGGTTGTACTATTGAAGATGAGACAGGTATAATAATCCTCCCAGGAAAAAGGTATGAAAATATTTATATTCTTGATGACTAATCTAGATAGTCATATCTGCTTCACCTCTAAATATGATGATCCATGGTTATGGCATAAGAAACTTGGTCATGCAAGCATGCATCTTATTGAAAAACTCTCCAAGCATGATTTAGTTATTGGTCTCCCTAAACTAAATTTTTCTAGAAATCATGTATGTGATGCATGATTGGTAAACAAACCAGAAACTCCTTAAAAACAAAGACATTGTGTCTACCTCAAAGCCTTTACAATTGCTTCATATAGATTTGTTTGGACTCACCAGAACTGCTAGCATAGGAGGAAAACATTATGTTTTTGTTATTGTTGATGACTACTCACGTTTTACATGAGCTATCTCACAAAGATGAAGCCTTGAATAACTTTGAGATTTTCTATAAGAGAGTTAAAAGAGAAAAGGGGTATCTATATTTTTTTTTAAAAAATATTTGGATCTACAAAAATGTTTGTTTTCTCTTTCGTATTCAATTTACATATTTTTTGCTTTTAAATATTATACAATTTTATTTTAATTTTCATGATCTTTTATTTATTAGTTTTATCTACCCTAACAGACACTACAAAAACAAAGTGTGATTGTGGTGGCTTTTTATGTATATTGCGGCGGTTTTGAATCGCCACTATGTAGGCTAACGGTGATTTCCAACAACCCCATAATTACTTCCGCCAAAAATTTATTGCGGTAATTTTCCGAAAAGCGCCATTATTGTGAAAGTGAAATAATGGCGGTTCAGCTTTACTTAGTACGGCGAGTCATAACCGCCAGAATTGGATATGTTACCATAATTCACACTAATTAATATGGCAGTTTTGAACCTCCACAATTCCCCTTTTGTTGTCGGCTATAATTTTTGTTTAGTCATATTTATTCTGTTCTACTTTTGACACCCTGCCTAATGGATTGGTTTACAATAATTTTGAAACAAACATAAAAAAAAGTATTGAATAAGTAAATCATTCATTGTATATATAAAAATATAAATATTCTAGAAATACATCATAAAATGTATTAAAATTTCAAGTGGTATTTCACATTCACTCAATACAAGGAAAATAACTACAATAAATCCTAGAAATTATGTTCAACGAGCACTTGCATGAATCTGTGGAGCAATGTTACTTCCACTTGGTGATCCTTTCTGACTGTTCGGCGATGCAACATTCTTCTTATATTCTGTGGCTACAAAATAAAATGAAGCAATAAGCAAGAAATAATCAAAATTCAATCATGATGTACGAAACATAAAACTTTATATTCAAAATAGCAAGCATGTCAAAGGGTCATGGTACAAACTAATATATTCACATTTCTTAAACTGCTGAATAGGTTGTATGTGGCAGATATAACCTGCAGAATCTTTAGTCAACTCCTTTAACCATTCAAGATAAGGATCCAGAGAAAGAAGAAGAACAGAATTACCTGCACAAGTCATAAAAGTGGAATGCATCATTAACATGTAAAAGAAGAAGGAAAAACAAGACCCTTCAACATTCCCTGCCCTTATTTCCTTTTTCTTTTTCTATGCCAACATATACTATCACTCGCGTATAAGACATTCGCGCTTATACCTTGTACATGTTGACCAGTGGAAGTTGTAATATATCGACTTGTCTTAGTTTACCTTACAAGTATCCAAAAGCAAGTGCCATAGTCATATCTAAGTATCATACTCTTTACAATATTAGTCAAACAGGATATTCTGTACACAAAAATTTACAAATTGCATATATGGTAATATAATTTTCTTTAAAGAGTATGATTATGCTAGTTTATCTATAGTCATAATACAACACAGATTCCTTAACTAATCGACCAAGAAAGCAGTTTAATGCAAAAAATATCGGTTTACCGAGTGTGAGTGCTAAAGAGACAGCAAGATCATTGACTTAACATAACTTTTTCATGTTATAAAACATGACACCATATAGCTTATTGTGATTGATGACAAGGTCTAAGACTTTGCTCAGAAGGCTTTAGTCCTCCATGATATTGTGATTGATGAACTAGACGGACTTCCATTGCACTTGAATAGAATCAAATTTAGTGACCAAGAAAGGGTAAAAGAGATGGCGCAAAATCAATATCCCTTCCCCTGACATGTTGTCCTATGGTTCATTTCCATTCAATTAATCTAATAATTTTATTTGTTGATGTCATGTTGCCATATACGCACCTTGATAATGTCATTGCACAAAGGCAAATTTTAAACCTGAAGGGACAAGCCCTGACTAAATGTGCATCAGATTTTATTCATGAATTATCTTTTATCTGTTATGTGTATGTTCAATGAAAAACAATGATCCAAATAGATATCTCGTGAATCAAGAAACATGGAGTTTCTACCTTAGTCACTCTGAGGTTCTCAGGAAGCTTCAAGGATCGGCACTGTGATGATTCAGTAATTTCAGTGAGCTTCCATATCTTAGATTTGCCATTAGGCTCTTTAACAATCCGGGCTTTTACATCCACCGTATTTCTTGCATCTCCATTCTTACAAAGTCAATAGGATGTAAAGAAGTATATATTAGTAGATGATATTGACATGAAAAACAGGTAAGACTTCTGGTGTGTCTTCCAACTTTGAACAACAGAACAACTAGGGAAAAATTAGTAAGGATATATGTATACATAGTTTTTCCATGGGGGTACGATCTAATGTCAACAAACAAAAACTTCTTTGATACAACGTAGACATCTGACAATTAGCAAACTACAGCAAGTACCTTAAGTTTCATTTTTGTAATGCTGAAGGATAGTAAGCCAAATAACGGAATTAAAATCTATTAAGTTCATTACCCAGTATCGTAAATGCTACTATGACTTTTTTTTGATAATGACAAACGTTACTCTAACTTTGTATCTACAAAGTAGTTAAAACAATCTTTTCAGTAGCCTAAATCTAGAACCAACATGAGTGATATACATACTACACAAGTACTAAACAGCGATTAAAACCTTCAAGCAAGCAAAGAAACTCAACGAATTATCACAATAAAGACAGAGAGCAACAACAGACATAGCAATGTCTTTAGCTAGTTGAGACAAAAGCAAGTACCCAAAGAAAATTCTTACCATCGACAGTTTGGAGGCATTGGATGAATTTTCTAGCTCATTTGTTGAAGTTCTTCATTCCTGCACCATGATTGATCCAGTTCGAGTTAGTGATTAATATAAACTCGCAATAGGACAAACATAAATCCCTTTTGCAGTTTCTCCGAAATCACCAAAGACCAGTGAAAATACAATCGGACCTATCACTCTAAGGACATGTAAATCACACTTAATTTAATAGTTTTGCCAACATATCACTCCTTGCTTTCAGAATAGTTGTGCTTGTATCAATATGCTCTTTCTCATCTATGGAATAGAGTCTTTCTTTTACAAGGATTTTCAGTATCGGCACTAGAAGACTAATTACATCGGATAACCATTTGCTAAGTATTTTTTTGCCTTTTTTTCTCAAATAAGATACCATTTTCAAAATTGTAGTAATATTGACTATTTAAATGTGATCAATTTACTAAAACCTGCTTATATTTCTATCAACTAGATTATGTCCTGCTCTCAAAGAATAGGGGAAAGCAAAGTAAGAGATATAAGAGCAAAAAATTACCTTCTTATCAATTGTTTAGATATTGTATGCTCCTGTATAACCTGTAGATTCATTGGATAAAAAAAAAATCTCACTGAAACATCCATCCATTTTGATCGCACACAATTTTGTTGGGTACAAAAAAGGGAAATCCAAGACAAAATGAATGCAAAAGCAACAACTTGGAAGATGATGGACTAATAGAATGTTTCCCAAGGAAATTAGGATCCAAAATACTACCTAAGGACACTAGATTATTGCTTTTCCCGAATAAATTTTCACTAGCATTTTCAAAATTCTACCTTCAGGTAGTGTCTGCACCAAATACCATCCTCCACTTGAGCATCACTGCCCGCAGATGCATTGATTTTTCAAAATCAATTTCTGGAGAATAAGATCAGAAAACGACCATAAGAACTTTACTCCACACGCAACTCTTTCTTCAGTCACCAAATTTCGACCACAAATCAAATTGTGCCTTAAGATACATCAAAAAATTAAAAATGGAAGCAAAGCACAAATTTAAGTATCTAACAGTTATAGTGATAGAGTAAAGCAAACTAAGAATGAAAACCTAGATCCGCATCAATATATAGAGAAAAATGAGATAAAAACAGAAAGGACCTGGCTGAACTTTGTTTAAATTTGAGAGTTGAGATCATTAAAGCGGCGACGGAGTTTTGCGAACTCCATGAGAGCTTCAACGTAGACCAGAAGCTTCACCATTCCTTTCCGTATTTCGAATTAAGGGCCTCAGCAAGAAGATAAGTAGGAAAGGAGAGAATAGGAGATAAAGGATAGACCGTGAGATGAGAGAAGAGTAGAGAGAGAATCGCCTGCTATGGCGGTCTGACAAAGCGCTGCACGGATAGGGAAGTAAACGAGGAGTTCTGGAGGAAGAGTTCTGATTTGTGAGAAAGATGCCTTTTCCAACTAAACCTAAAAATTATGTTAAAAATTAAAAATCGTTATAAAGAGGATTCTGTTACGATAAAAATCAAAATATGGTGGATGTCTACTCTTCCTCCATAATCTTTGTCTCAAATGGTTAATGACATATTCAATGACATATTTTCTATGTTTAATGACATATTCCATGACATATTTTCTTCACTTTTCATGCCTATATAAAGGCTTTGTAATAGATAGGAAAATAGACACAATTGAAGAAGAAAATTTCTTCCTTTCTCTCTATCTCTTTCTTGTTCATGTTTTACTAAATTGTCTTTATTTCTTGTTCATGTTTTACTAAATTGCTTTTATTTCATAACACGTTATCAGCACGAGTCTCTAACCAATTGTATATATATACAAAAAATTTCATACATCCGGAAAGATTACAATTAGAAGTTATACATATCATCATATGGTTAAATGTAAAGAGAAACTACATATGGTAAGTAATGAAATGTAAGAATGTATGATTATCTTATACTTGTCATTCCTCTTAAATCCCATATGCACACAACTTCGTACTACACATATATTACATAAGCACATATTAATATTACATCTTTTATATCGCATGAATGGAATAAAATTTTCGAAGTTCTATATGTGAAAATCATAGTAGCAGTTAATTGTTGATATGATGCATGTCATGGTAACCAAGGATATTTTATATAAATTGTCTTATGCATATTTGTGTGTTAACTATCTTCAATCTGTCCTGCCGCTTTTAACATTTTCTTTTACTTGGATGAATATTTTTTTTTCCTTTTGGATTTTTACACTTGCATATAGTACAAAAAAAAGAATAAAAAAAATGGTCATACTGATTAAAAGCATAAATCACCTTGAAGAAAACAAAAAATATTTCACATCTTTATTTAGGTTGATTAATTACTTCTTTGAAATTTGGAAAACAAACCAGCTATTGAGAAAGTATACTTCATAATTTATGGTCGTATCATTTGAAAGCAAACAATGATTAGTATGACTACTAGAAGAGGTATTTTTGAGTATCCATGACCTACTTGATGCTTGCTACTGACTTACCATTTTTAAGTATTTTATATGAATGATGCACAAGCTACAACTGGTAAGTTGTTACCTATAATGTCACTTTTCAGGTAATATAAATGCTGAATTTATGTATTAGTACTATATATGTGTTGTTACCTATATGGTGTACTTTTGATAAATTTATTCACTAATTGCTTGGTTGAATTGAGTGAAGGAAAGTCATGGCGTTAAATCAAATCCAATAGGTAGGGTATACCCCGAAAACAACAATATTTTTGAGAGAGACTCAATAAATATTATGACAATGATTTTATGATCCTTTTAAACTCTAATAGAATTTAGAAGAAATATTCTGACTACAAACGATTGTATTTCATATAGATGCTACAAATAATTAATAAAGCTTTACGCTGATTTGAGATTTGTACACTTATTTAAGAAAGCAAATTTGATTTGCTAAGTTGCAAATTAGTTGTGTATAACTTTCTTGGCATGTGATTGAAATTAAGGCTTGAGAATGAATCTCAATATTGTTTAGCCTATTATACCATTGATTGAGGGTAAGACATCGGGATCAAGTCCTGATGCTCCATAATGATAAGAGTTGGGTTTGAGTCCCAATTTATTATGGCCTAACATGCCTTTATATTGGTAAGACATTGGGTTTGAGTCCCAATGTACCATATTGATGATATAATGATGACTAAAGAAAAATAATATATTTTTCATGAAAAGGCATGAAAATTGTCCCACTTGATTTGCTCCATTCTTGAAGTGAATGTGATAGCAGTGCATAATAAGTTTCAATGAAGACAAGTGGTTAAACAATGAACGTGGGCGTTCCAAATATCAAAATAATAATAATCATCGCTATGATTATAAAAGGAGAACAATAAGGGTTCTCAAAATAGTTCTTCAAAATGTGAAAGCAATGCTTACCATCAAATTGGTATGAAAATAATAAAACACGTCGCTGATTATGATCCATTCCTTGAAGAGAATGTGACTTATGATAAGCATTGAGAATGCAAACACATTCCTAAAGTTGAATGTGGCAATATGTGATAAAAGCAATGAATAAAGACATGCAATTCATGATTATATGAATACCACACAACTCACCTCTAAG